TATATAAATAGTTTATTTGTGAGAATATTAACTGGATAGAAAAATTCAAAAAGTCAAAGTCTATTTCTATTCTACCTATGATCTGTTGGTAGGAAGATATAGATTATATAAATAGTTTATTTGTGAGAATATTAACTGGATAGAAAAATTCAAAAAATCAGTCTATTTCTATTTTATCTGTGATCTGTTGGTAGAAAGATATAGATTATATAGATGATTTATTTGTGAGAGTATTAACTGCATAGAAAAATTCCAAAAATCAAAGTCTATTTCTATTCTATCTATGATCTGTTGGTAGGAAGATATAGATTATATAGATGATTTATTTGTGAGAGTATTAACTGCATAGAAAAATTCCAAAAATCAAAGTCTATTTCTATTCTATCTGTGATCTGTTGGTAGGAAGATATAGATTATATAAATGGTTTGTTTGAGATTTTATTTATTTGTGAGAATATTAACTGGATAGAAAAATTCCAAAAGTCAAAAATCTATTTCTATTATATCTGTGACTTATTGTTAGATATAAACTAATATATAGATAGTTGAAAGTATTTCTTATATTTGATAATATATTTATTTAAAGTTAATATCAGAGACAAGACTGATACGGATAATATGCATACTAGATATGTAAAGAAGAAGAGAAAGAAAGTCAGAATAAAGATGCAGGCCGTCTGTTCAGTTACAGGTACCAGGTGAACGAGAACCTTGAGGATCTCGGCCAGGACAGACCTTTCATAGGATTTGGACCACAAAACACCGGACCTTACGGTCCTAACGGTAGACCCATTGTATCGCCATCGTATCCCGGCAACAAAGAAGTTCTTGTCGGCCCGGGTGGACCAACGGGCATTATAAAGAGGTATTTCGTATCGTCTCGCAGTTTTCCAACCCAGTAAGCCTGTTTTCGCGGCCCGGCGTCCTCGATGTCGATCGACCCTATGCAACCGAATGATTTCGACCTGATCTGTCGAATTTTACGATAAAAACAGTCTTGGAGTTTACACTGGAGCTTGAATTTTTTTTTTTTTTTTTTTTCTTAAATATATTTTTTCCAGGATTTTGGTCAGGAATTTCGATTTTCGCAAAGCTTTATCGATTACTTGAACAACTGTCGTATGAAAATAATTGTTAAGTAATACGCTTTCGTCTCTAAAGACCTGCTTACGCCGGAAGTGTCGACGGTGGTGACTTGGGAACCGGTTTCGTGCCACCTTGGGTCAAGGACGATCCTCGATATCGGGAATACGACACCTGCAGATGTAGATACAGCTTCAATTGCCCCTCCAGCGGATTGAAATTCGTAAGTGTCAAGAGGAGAATTGATCGATTGCCCTTATTCCATATTCTCATTCATCTTGTGTTCATTTTATTAATTAGGGGAGCTGCTCCAAAGATAAGAAGTACTGTTGCTTTAACAGCAGGAGGTATCCAGCGTTGGTTCCCGGGCAAGCACACTATCCTTCGTATCCGGTACCATTTTCTGCCAATGTCGTTCTGTTCATACTACTCGGAATGAAATGCAAATGAGACACAAGGGAACTTCAAACTTTTACATCTACCAAAAAGTGGAGAGTTAGGGACAAAAAAAAGGGAAAGACAATTATTAATATTAGAACTACCGAAGTGATGAAAATGGCCAATTTTAATTCTAAATTTTTTAGAGCAATTTTATGGACTTGCAATGTTACGCTTTTTCCCAGAGATTCTTCGAATGATATTTTTGTAAAATATTTTCCTACTGCTTGCATTCTATTTTCTTTGGCTAAAGTTTTTCTTCGATAGTTCTGGTGTTAATTTATTGTGTCGTTAACCCAAATGAGACACAAGATTCCCAAAAATTGGAGAGATAGGAAGACAATTGTCAATTTATTTTATCGTTGATTCGAATGACACAAACAGGGACTCCAAAACTTTCAGATTCCCAAAAATTGGAGGGACAAGAGACGATTATTAATTTATTGTTATCGTTAATCTAAATGAAACAGAAAGGGACTCCAAACATTTAGATTCCCAAAAATTGAAGAGATAGGGGAGAAAAGGGAAGACAATTGTCAATTTATTGTTATCGTTAATCTAAATGAAACAGAAAGGGACTCCAAACTTTTAAATTGCCAAAAATTGAAGAGATAGGGGACTAATTACTGATTTATTGTAGCATCAATTAGTCCCGCGAAGGAACTTCAAAAACATGAGAGACAGTAAACGAATATTAATTTATATATATTCCTGACGTTTAGAGAATTTAGATTCCCAAAAATTGGGAGGGAGGGAAATTAATTTTGATTATCCCGGTGATGGCGGGGAAGATCAAGTATGAAATGGCCAAACGCGAACTCCCATTTGCGAACGAATGATTTACGAGGGATTAATTTTTTCGCTGCTCTATCGTACATCCGACAATCGATTTATGCCCCTGGTACTTTTTTACATAAATTACAGAGTGCCCCGAACAAGTACGGGCCGGCGGCTTTCGTGCAATCGGCCAACTATTATGGTAATCGAAGGCCGCAGGGGAGCACCACCGGCGCTAACAGATATCCTGGAAATTACCATCTCCCGGTGGAGAATCCGATTCCCTATCCGCGACCACCTGGCAGCAACCCTTACCACCTGGATTACGACTACAACGAATCTGACTTCTACGCTCGGTCCGCGAGGAAAAACCAGACGGTGAACGACAGCACGGATGAAAAACCTTAAGCCTCATTTACACCAGACTTTCAATCCTGATTAATCTTCCAACAGGCAGGCAGTCTTTCGCCTTATAAATTGTTAATAAGAATCGATCTATCTAGAACGAGGGAATCGTACGGTTTTCCAGAGAGAGCCGGCAATGTACAGGGTGATTCACGTATGAAATAACTTTTAAATTGCTTGACACGAAAGTTGCATGGCTTATCGATTCTTTTGTTTTTGAGTTTTGAAATTTT